ATCCTCACCGACGATGGCGCAGCACGATCTTCCAGCGATAGATACCGAAAAGGCGGAGAAGGATTCCGTCGCCCCTCCGTCTCCTGATATGGATTCCTCGACCGTTGGACCGGAGTCGGACCAAGATATTGAAGCACGGCCCGGTAATCGCGAACCCGGTGTCGATGAGAAGGATCCGAATGTCGTGGACTGGGACGGGCCCAATGACCCAGAAAACCCGATGAACTGGTCCGATGCCAAAAAGTGGCTGAACATCAGTATCCTATCTATAATGACGGTCGTGACGTGAGTATTCTACCCTTAGCATACCCCTTTACATTGCACCATGTTATATCTTGCTAACTCACCACAGCCCCTTGGGCTCTTCAATGTTCGCCCCTGGTATTCCTGGCATTATGATGGAGTTCCATGAGACATCCTCCACTATCGCCACATTCCTGGTCTCTGTATACATCCTAGGTTTCGCTTTCGGTCCGCTCCTCATAGCGCCATTAAGTGAGATTCTTGGTCGCCGACCCTTATACATCTTCGGCAACATACTCTTCGTCTGCTTTTCCGTCGGCGCCGCTCTTTCCAAGAGTATCGGAATGCTGATGGCGTTCCGTTTACTGATGGGGCTGGCGGGATCGGTGCCTATAACCATTGGAAGTGGTAGTATTGCGGACGTGATGCCTGTCGAGAAGCGCGGTAGGGCCATGTCTGCTTGGGCTTTGGGTCCTCTCCTCGGCCCCTGCGTTGGCCCTATCGCCGGTGGTTACTTGATCCAGGCTGCTGGATGGAGATGGGTGTACTGGCTGATTGTTATTCTGGTAAGTTATGTCAACTTCGGGCATCCAGTCGCTCGTTCTGTCGTATAAGGGCTAACTGAAGCGCAGGGTGGTGTCCTCATCCCCGTATCCTTCTTCTTCCTCCGGGAAACTTTCGCCCCTGTCCTTCTCGAACGCAAGACCAAGAAACTTCGCAAGGAGACCGGTAACCCGGGCTTGCACAGCAAGCTCGCCGGGCGACTAACCCCTAAGGAGCAGTTCAAGCTTGCCATTGTCCGCCCGATGAAGCTCCTACTGGTCACACCCATCGTCACTCTTATGGCGCTGTATGTTGCCATTACCTACGGCATTCTGTACTTGCTCATTACGACTTTCTCCTTCGTATACACAGACCAATACGGCTTCGACGAAGGCGACAGCGGCTTGACATTCTTGCCTGCGGGTTTGGGTATGATGATCGGTGTTGTCGGGTTCGGACAGCTTACCGACATAATGGTCAAGCGGAACCAAGCAAAGGGGATTGTGCATAAGCCCGAAGTCCGTCTCGCGCCTACGCTCACGATCCCCAGCGGCATCGCACTCCCTATTGGTTTGTTTATCTACGGATGGACTACTAACTTCGGAGTTCACTGGATTGTTCCTATGATCGGTGTTCTCATCTTCGCCGCGGGACTCATGGGTGTTATGGTGAGTCATCGCGTTTATCTTCTCATTTAATACCTCTAGATAAGCTGACATGTTCCAGTTCTGTGTTCAGAATTACCTACTCGACACGTATCCCCGCTACGCGGCCTCCGTTACAGCCGCCATGACCGTTCTCCGGTCGCTTCTCGGCGCGCTGCTTCCCCTCGGCGGTCTCGACATGTACAATGCCCTGGGTCTGGGATGGGGCAACAGCTTGCTCGGTTTTATCGCGCTAGCGCTCATACCGATACCAGTGGTTTTCTTCATATTCGGAGAACGTATTCGCAGCAAGTTTAACCCTAAGTTATAATAATACCTAAAATTAAGTACCTAATCAGTGCGGGCTGGATACTTCGCAACTACTCACTTGTACATAGAATATAGAGTATAGATACCTGAGTACCCCTAGGTACCTAATGTAGGTATATATGTAATAGACTAAACAAAGCCACAATCAACATAATAGACGTCGTCCCAACTGCTCACAGTATGTCTTATGTAGGTCATGGTTCAAAGTCCCCGAACACTGATTCGAAAATAGAGGGTCTTGATTTCCAACGTGCGTGGCTTATGTTAGCTACGTCTAAAATAGGTAAAATCTAACATCCTAGAGTTACTAAAAAGGTGCAACTATTGCTTGATGTCTCCTTAGGGGGTAGGTACGCGACCCTCACGATAACGCTAATCCTATGTGGACCGGAGTCTCCTTTTCAAACACCTTCGGGGAATTCCGGTACATTCGGAGCCGGTCTCGGCTGGGCCTGAGCCGGAGGGTAAGCTTCTAGTTGCTGCTAGATAGACGATATTCAGTCCCTTAATTGGCAAAACGCACGAGCTGTTATGATTAGGTAATTACTTTCCTCCTCTTGCGGCAGGAATTCCGAAGAGCAGAGTTATTGCCGTGCTAAACCCCTCGTATTTGGAGTCTTGAATATTCCTGGAAATCCTACGTCATTGAATCGGACCTTCGCTCTATTAACACTTCGGCTTTCGGTCCCATAAAAAATACTATGATGTAACCTATATCTGGTGCTGGTGACGCCACTAATGGCCTTCAATTTAGACAATTGGCTTTTACTTTCCATGTTTAGGTTTCTGGGCATTTTTTAGAATGCAATTATGGCAATAGTTGAAGACAAAGATGGTTCCGAACGCTCGCCCAGCGGGTCTTCTAGAGAGCCGGCTCCAGATGCGGACTCCCCCGCGACAGCGCCCAATTGGGATTCCTCTAGTTGCGAATGTCCTGAGACGGAAAAGTATCATGATGGACACCGGCCATGTACTCTCGACCAACGTCTGTCTCAGACCCGTGCAAGCGGCCGAGACGTCCCGGATGGACGCTCAAGGTCTCTCTCGCGGACTATCTCTAGACGGGATACCGTGCTGTCGCGGGTACGATCTAGACCAGCAGTGCCACCATTCACCCACCCACTTGCAAAAGTGAAAACTGGCCAAGAATACCTCGTTGACTTCGATGGGCCTGATGACCCCTATCGGCCTGTAAATTGGCCTCGGCACAAGAAAGTGCTCACGACGGCTCTATACGGCTTGGTCACAATGACTGCGACATGGGCATCTTCTTCCTATTCTGCTGGCACGACGCAGATCGCGGAAGAGTTCGGTGTGGGCACGCAAGTGGCAACGCTAGGCACTACACTCTTTCTTCTTGGTTTCGGTATAGGCCCGCTGCTTTGGGCTCCACTATCCGAAGTCTACGGCCGGCGGGTCGCAGTCCTGACGCCGATGTTCGTGTCCATATGTTTTTCGTTCGGGTCCGCCACTGCCAAGGACTTTCAGACCCTCATGCTGACACGATTCTGGGGCGCCATCTTCGCTTCGGCCCCGGTAACAAACACCGGTGGCGTCCTAGGAGACCTCTTCACGCCTGCATATCGCGGCATCGCCATGGCAGGGTATGCGATGGCAGTCGTCGGTGGACCCACGGTAGGGCCCATCGTCTCTGCTGCATGTGTGGCGCGACCAGATCTTGGTTGGCGGTGGACTGAATATACGACCGGAATAATACAGTCCGTCATCCTAACCTTGGCAGTCATTTTCATCGACGAGACATACCCGCCGAGTCTCCTTGTTATCAAGGCGCGCCGACTACGGTTTGAGACGGGTAATTGGGCCTTGCATGCGAAGTTCGAGGAATGGGATGTCAGTATCATGGAGCTCGCCAGGAAGTTCCTTGTCCGTCCCATGCAGCTGCTCTGCACGCCAATATGCTTTCTCATCGCGTTGTATGCGAGTTTCTGCTACGGAATTCTTTATATGCAACTTGGAGCCGTTCCCATTATCTTCGGAGAGATCAGGGGCTGGGGCATAGTGGCGAGCGAATTACCTTTCTTAGCCATCTGTCTGGGGTCGCTCACGGGCGCGGGCATAAATATGTCCAACCAGCTTTACTATAATAAAGCGTATCACGCAATGGGAGATCGACCCGTCCCCGAGAAAAGGCTTCCGCCAATGATGTTGGGGTCCGTGCTGTTTGCAATAGGACAGTTTATCACCGGCTGGACGGCAAACCCAGATGTGCATTGGATCGTACCTGTCATCGGTCTCTACCTTACCGGGTGCGGCTTCAACACAATCTTCCAGGCGGCGCTTAACTATCTCGTCGACACTTTTCAGATGTATGCAGCAAGCGCCGTGGCCGCTAACACCTTCCTGCGGAGTTGTTTCGCTGCTGCATTCCCGCTCGTCGTTACGCCCATGTACCACAACATTGGGGTTGGGCCCGGATCGAGCATTTTCGCTGGGTTTGCTAGCCTGCTGATTCCCGTGCCCTATGTGTTCTACTTCTTTGGCAGGAGGATTAGAGCTGCTAATAAATGGAGTAAGAACAGCGTGTTTTGAGACGTTTCTAAGAGTTGCATAGCATCGGCGTTAAGGGTGGCCATTGGAAAAGGGGGAGCATAGTACTCATTGATTTGTGCAGATTAAACGAGTAGGTAATTAGTATGGATACTAGGTAGCATTATACATACACAATTTTGGCTGATACATATCTCATACATGGCAGTGAATCCGGTGACCCTTGAGGGCGCACCTGAATCCCCTGGGCCAGACGTGGAATATGTCGACTGTAGGGCCCTTCTCATGTCTTGACCGGTAACACCATCTGCCGCTAGCCGTTATCACACCGTATAGGACTTCTCCCGGGATCGACGGCATGAAACAACGAAACCGGTGAAAATCTCGTGAAGTACAGCATATGCAGCCTTCTACAGAAAAGGAAACCCGGGGTGCCCGGTCGTGCCGCTTGTGCAACGGTGGGCGAACTGATTCCAATCTCACCAATGCTTAGGTATGGTATTTACTATGATGTCGCTAGGAGTCCTATCTTCGAAGGCTGTCTACACGCAGGACGATATTAAGCTGACTCATCCATACCCTAAGGGGCCACAAAAAGCAAAAAAGGGATTTGAAAAAGCTCAAAAAAAATTGGATTCGAGGTGTTCCTATAGATAGGAACGCATCAGGAATTGAGCCCGATGCGGGGGTCGAACCTAGTCGGTGACGTTAGTTTAGATCAGAAGACGCTGTTGTAAATGATGGACTTACCCGCAACCTTGAGATTAAGAGTCTCACGCTCTACCGATTGAGCTAACCGGGCGTTGATGGTTGGCTGATTCTGGTGCCTTATATCGGTAGTGCGGAGGGCAGCCACGGAGCCCCGAAGTTGTGCCGCTCACTCTTACTGGCGGAGCCTGCTAAAGAGTGGGTTCTTGGCTGCCGCTATCGCAAATACCAAGTACCAGTTTTCTCTTGACGTACATGCATTGGATGTTTGAGTGATACATGTATCTCACAACAGAGATACGTATTAGTAAAAGGGGAGCAAAGTCATCTGCATGTGAGTTACTCCTAGTTTGCCATCAGATGTTGTGTTCGTCTAGAGGTGCATAATAGAGTTCCCACGTTGGACAACTTGGAATAGTGTTACCGTCACTCAGAAAGGAGGATTTATATGCTCATTTAGTACACATATTGTGTTCTTCCGAGCAAATTGTCCTGTACTCTTTCGAACTTACATTTCCTGTCTCACTTACCGATCATATCTGACTCATCGAATTACGTGAGGTGTGCTTTGGAATATGTACAGGCTAACAACATGACCTCGCGAGTGGGAAGCTGGGAATTTCGACAACATGGAATCCCTAGAGAACTTGCTTGTAGCGACTCATCGAGAGCTGCCGCTGGTCATAAAGTAGGTAGATTTAAAGTATGTACTATCGCGCATTCTACATGTATATTGCCAAGCTTTATCAGCTTCCGAAGCCAACCGTCAAATGGCCAATAAACGTCCAGCGAAACCTGCAACCTTGGGTTCCCGTACTATGTCGGACCTGACGCTAGGCAATTTTTTGCATGAGTCCAGTCGGAACACAATGCGATTGGGTTACGCTATTGCGTTTTAATCATTCATGTGTTCGTCGTCCTTTTATTGCTTGTAGATATTTCATTCGTCGCGAGAATCCCTCCGATTCATATTCAAACCATTCCACTGATCGAATCACATCTTGAATGTCTTCTTAGAGACCCTGACAGGGCCAAGGAAATGAAGCGAGTGACTTATGATTCTAGCCTCAGCGACGGTATCCTTCCTTAAACGACAGTTCCACTGATGCGCGACAGGGATTGGCCCAGTGCTGACAATCAATCGTTTTTGTGGGATAAGCCCCTGATCTACAGCGCGAATCTACTGATGGCTTTAGTAGTACATAGTAAAACGCCATCAATTCGCATGGTGAGATTTTACAAGCGTCGGGCGCTAGAGTGCGCGATGCTTGAGACATTGAAGTTTAATGTTATTTAAAGCATCAACGTCTTTTTGGGGGCCCGCTAGTAGCACTTGTGTTGTCATCGTATGCATTCATACAACGTGTTCGATGTAGTACTGTGTGCGGCGGGCCGTTAATCTTTGAGGCTCAAGCTAATAAAACAATCCAAAGCATCTATCAACCTCTAGTTTCTAGTCAGGGTCAAGGCTTCGTAACAAGACCGGGTTGCCCCAGGGCCCTGAATTTACACCGTATGCAGAGCCTCTCTGAGGCCTAGGTGCTGACCTTGTATCAACTTCACCTCTCACCTTGGCAAACGTCTGCTGCAGCCATTGGATATTATTCTTTTCGACGCCGCAACTTACCGCGCGGTATGCCGTTCTTAAACAATGACACAATAGCGAAATGACAAAGCTCAATGACGGGGAAGCAATTGGCCTTTGAATTCCCCGTTAGCCGCCTGATGCGCTAGGGAAACATGCAATCATACTGCATTGTTCAGATCGATCTTGCTTTATCGGCGGTCTCGAAAAGGGAAAGTCGCCATCGCGAAGTCGAAATTACCCTTACAACCCACCTGCCCACGTACCTCTAAGCGAACCAAACGCCCCGCAGGAGTGTGGCTGATCATTTACCGAAATGCCGCTACCTGCATGTGGTACCTGCAGTATGCAGGAGAATACGCAGCAGGATCCAGGCCCTTGGCGAGTTGGCGAGTTGGTGAGTTGGTGCGCAACTAAGATAATTCGCCCTCCCTCGCAGCCAAAAGGCAAAACGCCCGCGAATGCGCTTGCAGAATATCTTGTCCTTGCTTCCATTGTCCCTATTTTCAGGGTTCTTCACCATCAGCCTTGCTCGGAGGGATGCACCTCTCGAATACAGGGGAATTAAAATTGCGGATGGACGAGAATGGGATGCGACAGGGTCAGCAACGCGGAATGCTAATGACTGGTTGATAGGTTGACAGGGGTCCAAGATAATGGCCAGCCAGTAAAATCGTCTTATGCAGAGCCTAGTGAACCAAAAGAGAACCATTCCAGGGGCACAACTGGGGAAGCCTCCGCGCTAGAGCAATGTCTGTCAACTTTCCAGCGCCTGCAGGACGAAGCAGGAGCCACCACGGTGCCAATGCTCACAATACCCTTGATCCTTTTGATGGTCTAATAATGGGTAAAAGACCGATTGCGACGCTACCCAGCGGTAGCCCATGCCGCCATGCCCCTTTCGATCATTCCACCCCCCAGTCTAGACGAATTCTGGTGCTCCTGTTCTTTCTCTTGTTGTTGCGCGCTCTCGCTTTCCTGGTCGTCTACTCATGTTGGCTTGCTCAAGTTTCCTTTCTCACCTGCCAGTGAAACATTACCATCTCGCCTTGTATACCGAGTCAATAATCTCTTGGCCTAACCTGTAACTCTCTCCACATTCCCGCTGCTAGGTAGTCATGAGTGAGTGATAAGACAAGGGAGTAGATCGACCACCATGTCCGTCCCTCAGTCTCTGCCGAACCAAGATCACGCGCACCGGCCCTCCCTCACGGCCAACTCTGAGACTTCCCATGCCTCATCTGATCTGTCTTTCCTTCAGCAACCGTTTCCTTCCTCTCCAGACCAATCGCAATCCCTGGACTCAGTCGCCGCCCTGCCGGCATCAAGAAACGCGAAGAATCTTGTAATAGACAGCTCTGCGAGCCCACCACCAACTCGCTCCATTCGAAGGAAGCCATTGTCGTCGACCGCATCGTCAATCGCTACTCGGTATTCCTCTGGAGAGTACCTGGCCTTTACGAAGGGCTTCCCCAGACCAGACCAACGTTTCTCGCGCTCCTTCTCGTTGGATAGCCCTACCGTGTACGAGTTCCCTCGCCCTCCAATCGGCCTAGGGTTAGAGTCGCCCAACGACATCATCTTGATCCAGGGAAACGCGGAGTGAGTCAGGGTCTCATTAATCTACAATCCAACGCGAATCACGTAAAATCCAGAAATGCTAATTGACCTTCGATATTAACCAGAAAAACTCCCGTGGGTCGTCATCCGCTGGCTTCTGCCGACTGCAACCCGGCTATCACGGCGGGTGAAGTCGAACGTCCAGAATCTCGGGCTGACAACCCTGACGCTCCTCAAACACACCACAGCACTGATTTGTCGCAATACCAAGGACAGACCACGTATGACGACCTTTTCAGTGACGAGGAGGAGGATCCGCTGAGTGAGCATATTTTCGACGGATATAATTCAGATTCGTCCGATAATAGTAATTCTAATCATTCTAATACTATGTCGTTGCATGTTACCCGGAAGGCCACACCCCCACAGTTGAATCTCAAGCCAGACAACACAACCCCTACAGCTGACAGCTACGAAGTTAAAACGCCTAATACCGACAAGCCATTACCCAAGTCACCGGGTTCTTCAAAGCTAGGAACCTTCTTTGGCTGGACCTCGTCACCGTCGAACACTGAGGTCTCAGACAAAGGCTTTTCGCCTCTTCCATCACCCTTCAACTTCTCAAAGACAGCCAGTGTTACCGATGCATCCCCGGTCACAACAATTGGACCACAATCACTACTTGATGCCCCCAAGGCGCTATTTGGATCTCCAAATTCGAGAGACTATTGCGAATCGTACCTGGCAACACCACCAACCGCTACGCTACCCCCGTCTCTCCAAATCGAAGAAATGGAAGACGAGCTAAAGGCCATCTCGGCCGAATTGGCGGCGTCAATTCGTCGCGAGATGGACTTGGAGGATTTAGTTGACAGATTGCAAGCAGAGAGGGACAACCCTACGACAACTGCAAACAAGAGAACTAGCGACTACTTTTCGGACTCAGGATATAGCTCAGCCAAGTTGAGCGAATATGACCAGTCAAGGGAAGAAATCGAGAAGATCCAGAGGAGATCAGAACAGGAGAAGGCCCAAATTAGGCTCGAGTTGACCAACAAGCTTCAAGATGAGAGGTCCCGAAGACAAGAGCTTGATAGCCAGATCAGGGAGCTCTCAGAAAGGGCATCCCAAATTGATCTTGCGAGAGTTAACAGTGTTGATACTAGTGGCCGCGTCAAGGAATTGGAAAGCACCTGCGAGACTTTGCGACGGAAGCTCACTGAGGAGCGCCAGGTCAAGGATAACTTCGAAGACTTGCTCACAGCTCTTAAGGGTGAGCTTCAGAATGCCTCTAATGAACGCGACAACCTTCGGGACGAGATTGTGCCGCAGCTACGAGCTCGTGTGGAAGGCCTCGAAGCACAAGCAGCCGAGTTGGAGAAGATGACTTATGAATCGACGAAGATGCAGCAAGAACTACAAACACTTAAAGTCGAAAACACATCACTAAAACAGATGCAGTCTAATTCTATGGGCACCATATCAGAAGAAGCTGGTCCTGCTAGTTCTAGGTTGTCTCGATCCAACTCTTTGACTGGTCCACCTTCCTCTTTCAAGCTTCAAAGAGCACCCTCTGGCTTGTCAAGATCTAAGTCAGTTAAGAGTAGTGAATCTCGAGACCAACTATCGGAGAGACTGAAGGACGTCGAAGAACAACGAGATGCCTTACACAGAGCTCTGAAGAACTTGTTAGAAAGGCAAGAGCACCAGAATCGGGAAAACGAAAAGAAGATTCGAGCTCTCGAAATGGAGCGCGATCGACTCCTGACTGAGTCGCCACAAAAGGCTGGCTTCCAGAAGGAAATATCTAACCTCCGAGCTGAGATCAATGTCCTGCGCCGAAGAGCTGAAGAGGCACTCGAGCAAAAGTGGCAAGTTGAGAAGGGGCTTGGTGGACTTAAGATGGATCTTGATCGAGCCGAGCAGGAGATAGCATCGCTCAGAAGTCT